TCCGGGCCTGCGCGAGCCACGGCACCCGCACGTCCCCGGCCAGCCGGCCACGCCTCGGGCCACGGGGCCTTCCCTTCTTAAAAATCGATTGAAGTGATCTTTGTTAAGAGGGGGGAAAGTTGTTTTTAATTTCCTCACCCATTTCCCTTTTCTCTGTACCTTGATTGCTTTTGAGGTTAACATGTTGCTTTCAGTACTCCCAAAGCAGACCCCACCGAGGGGCTGCCGGGCCTGGCGTGGGCAGCGAGCGCCTGGCCCAGGGAGTGCGCTGCCCCACGCTAGCGCAAAGTCGACAAGCCAGCAGCGATGCCCTTATGAAGATGAGCGAACGCGCTGACTTGGCGCTGGCGGGCCCGAGCCTGCAGGTGACGCAGCGCGAGACAGAGCCCCGGGCCCCTTCCCTCCACCTCTACTGAGCCCTGCGGTCAAAGGGAACCCCGAATGCTGTTGCTTCCCCCCAAGCTGCAGTGGGTGAGGCGGTCACCTGTGGCCACTGAGAGTGTCCTGAGTGACCCGAGCTCAGCACTCACATGGGCTGATGGTAATTAAGAAAGGCAGCCCGAGAGGGGCAGCCCCGGGCCCCCGGGCCCCAGGGGACGCAGAGGCCCCCCGGCTCTCGGGCCCCACAGCACCAGGCCGCAGAGCCGGTCCCGCTCACTCCTACCTGCTCAGCTGGTGGCAGGCAAGGAGGTGAGACCCAGCGGAGTGATGTCAGAGGGGCGGGGCCTCTGCGGGCCAGGTCCAGCCCCAGCTCAGCGGAGAAGGCCACGTCTCTGAGACGCCCAGAACGGGCTTGAGAGTCGGCTCCGGCTTCCTAGCCCTGTGACCCCGTTTCCTTTCTGAGCCTCCCGGCCCCCCATCAACCCAATGTGCAATAACAATACCCTGCACCAAGCGTCCTGTGAGGACGAGCGTGCTTTGTGCAGCAGCCACGCCCTAAGCGTGCCGTTTCTGGGGCAGACTGCAGCTGCAGCCCTCTCGTCCTTGAGCTGGGCACAGCCTTCTGCCTTGCAGACCACCCTTGCCAGAGCCCCGCGCCTAGGTCTGGCC